TCCACCTCCTATCAAAATACCATGTCCTTGATATTTCTTCCAGGAACTAGAAGAATTATTGCATATTTAAGGGTCCTGTGGGGTAGCCACACGATAATGAGCATTACTGTGCAAGCTGCATGGACAGCACCTGTGGAGGACTCGCCAAAGCAAACATGAATGGAAATGTGCCTCCTCTGCAAAGCTTGCTTCCCTCCCAACTCCTTCAGACTAGCTGCTCTGAGGGCAGCATTAGAAGCAGAGACATGCCCTGGAGATGGAGACACGGACATCTGGACATTACATCCTGGGGTGGTGCACTGGTCAGCTTCTCATGGCTGAGACAAAATACCTGACATCACAACTTGAAGGAGGGAAGGTTTACTGTGGCTCGTGGTTTCAGAGAGTTCAGTCCTTGGTCTGCTAGCTCCAAGGCAAAACCATCATGGTAGAAGGGCCTGGTAGAGGAAAGCCACTCACCTCATGGAAGCCTGAAAGTGGAATAAGAGGGAAAGAGCCAAGGATGAAGGGGAAGGGGACCAGGCGTACCCTGATAGCCATGCTCCCCATGACCCACTTCCTCCAACTAGGTTCCCCTCCTCCTAACAGCCCATTCAGCCATGAACTATCAATGGATCAACACACTGATGGAGGGGCGGGGGTTAACACCCTCCGAACATTGCTAGATGTCGCTGCATTGGGGATCAAGCCCTCCTACATGTGTGTTTGGGGATGCTGCATATTCAAATAGTAACAGGTGGAAGCCATGGCAGGAAGTCATCTTGTCAATGTCCTGGCGGGTCCCCAAGCCCTCACCGTATACTCTTGCTCTCCTCAAGCTGTGAAGCCCCAGGAACACTTCCTTCTCTGTCTTCTAATAAGGCTTCAAATGGCTTTCTTAAGTGTCACATTTCACCTGTGCAAAATGTGTGAGGAGATTCTGCTCCTGCCCAGCCCCCCGGTCCCCACAGGCAGCCTCCCATCCCCTGAAGGGCCATGGTGACATCTTGGTTCTCGTCATCTACTCCAGGCTAAATTCAGCACGTGGATTCACACACCAGGGTGTCTCGGCTGGATGTTTATGTGAAATGTCAGCAGAGTCTTCTCTCTCCTTGTAGTGCTTGGGTCTAGGCAAACAAGAGATTTGGGGTTGACAAGTAGTTCTACTCAAGAAAAATGTACGCTTTCTGCCTTACATAAAACATCAGGGAAACCAGATGTATCCCCCTGAATATTTATGGTCTCACAGCTTCTTCTATTAATAATTCATCACACGTCGTCATGTCTACCCATCAACAAGGACTGCAAGCAAGGCAAGGGACGGGAAAGTACCCTTCCCCCTCCCCACGTCCCTGTGCCCTTACCAGACAGATGGGCAGCCACATGCCATGTCGCACCACCCTGTGAAAGATAATAAAACGCACTGTGTTGGAATTTTCTGTAACAAGCCTTGATTACTTTAATAAACCACAGGGGGAATCGTCAAGAAGAAAGCGCTGCTTTTCCAGCCTGACTTCAAAGAGGAACATTTGGCTTCTTTTGTTATTACTGGGCCCAAAATTGTTGCTAAACTAGTCAATTTGAAATTCATAAAAAGGCCCTTTGCCTCCCAAAGTTAGCTTTGTCTTCAGCTCCTATAGGTGTTTTTGTTTCTGATTAAAATTATATGCATTGCATGTGTCAGAAAATACTAGAAACTGAAAATGAAGTCACCTGTAACTTCGTACATAGAGAGAAGCACCACTCCTGTCTTGCTTTATAAACTTCTAGAATAAATGAGCCCACACAGATATGTAAATGTGTGCTTACAAAAATGGTATGGAGGGTCAGGGTGAGGCTCAGGGAGAGAGCTCGCCTCACGTGCCCAAGGCGTGTGCCTAGCTTTGTGAAAGCAAAAACGAGGTGGGAATCGCACTGTAAGTTCTTGTTCCATGCATTTTTTTCTGGTACAAATATATCACAGCCCTCTTTTTATGTGATTCACACATGCATGCACACACACATGCACACATGTGCACACACTGTAATGGCTTCCCGGTTGTACCTGCTATCCTGTGACATCTAAATCTTTCCTGCTCCCCCTCCCCACATTCCTGTACTGTCAGGGGAAGGTCCGTGCCCACAGCCCTGTCTTGCTTGTCACCTCCCTCTGCTCAGCGCAGAGCAAAGGCAGTGATGACTTGGAGCTTTCCACCTACAGTCATGCTGCAACCCAGGCAGAAGCAGCAAGAAGAGGTGGCCTGAAGGCCATGCCCAGACCCTCTTGCTGTGGGGCCGGAGTCCTGCAGGAAGCAGCACCTGGTCAGGAAATCCACCTGGGAACTGCTCTGTGGAGAGCTGGAAGAGTCACTTCCAGGGATTTGGGGACTAGAGGACCTTTCCCATTGACCCTGGGTTTTGACATTGTAATAAAACAAGCATGGAGTTTCCCTAAAGGAAGGGAGGTATCTGCATTAGTCTCTCTGGGACCTAAGCAAACGGGAGCATTAGAGCTTCTACACAGAGGCTGGCAGCACAGCCCGAGAGGAGCCTCCGCAAGGGCATGCTGGTGCTGCCAACCTGCACTGCTGCCCTTCCGCCATGCTTGCTGCCCTCCAGGGACGTTCTGGCCATCTTCTGTTCTGCAGGGACACCCTCAGTCCGCCTCGTGTCTTCCCGAGACACTCTCCGCCACTGCTCTTCTCCAGGACACTCACTGTAAGCCAGGTCTCTTCCAGGGAAACTCCCTGGTCCCTCCTCCCCGTGATTCCTGCTGTCCACCTCCTGTCCTCCGGGGACATTCTCCACCCATCTGATGTCCTCCAGGGACACCGTGCGGCCCTCTACTCCTCAGGTCACGGCCAACCCAGGCTTGGATCCCCAACGCCGTTTCGAAGGCTCCACTTTCCTCCAAGATTTCCCTAACACGGGGTCATCTTCCTCCTTCGAGAGTCCGAAGCACAGCTCCTTCCAGAGATGAGCCTGCAGCCTGTGTGTGTCTCACATTTGGGGCTTCATCCTCTCCTGGCAGAGCAGAATTTCTCTTAGGGAGTGCCCCTCAATTCTGTCTCTACCCTCAGCACTTGTGACCCCGATGGAAAGCGGTTTTCAATGTGTTGCTGAATCTCCTCGACTGAGGGCTTTTAAACAACTATTTTAGAGAAGAGATTCCTTTTTATTGTTTTAAACACCCACATGAAAATGTGATTCTTCTAAACAACAAACCCATCACTTTTAAAACAAAGATCCAGTGTGCTAAATTCTCTGGTTAATTAAGAGTTCACGCAGCTCGGCAGACACTGTGAGCAGGGCCGCTGGCCAGCGCGGGTAGGACAATAGCTTGGTCGCCAGGCCCCGGTCTCTAATGAGGACCTGAGCCAGCACGAGCGCTATGGCTTTGGGACAACATTATCTAAGGTCCAGTGCTTCGGTATAAACACAGCTGCCACTATATTAGTGCCTGTCCTGGGATCCACGGGGGAACCTCCAACAGCAACCACGGGTGGGAGTCCAGCTCACTGCTGCCCCGCGGGAGTGCGGAGTGTGAAACCACAGTTCTCTAAGACCAAAGCGGATTTCACAGAGCTGGTCCCGTGTGTTGGCACCTCCCGACCCTGCCATTTCCGCTCCCTCAGCCACAGCCCCACAGCAGCCGCACAGCAGCCCCCATTGGTTTTCGGGGGCTGCCTTCACGCCCTGACTTCACTCCCTCGCCCTGTGCAGCCGGGGGATGCGCCGTGCAGCTGCCTCAAAAGTGGGGAGAGAAGCAGCAGGGTGGTCGGCACCCAGAGCTCTACAGAGAAGCAGCCCTTTCTCCTAGACATTCTCTCAAGGCAGCAAGATTTTCCTGATAAGCTGCCTCTCCATCTTCCAAGGGGAAAATAAGTATTTTGGTGAAGCTAACCCTTCAATTAGGGCAGAGACTGGAGTGGTGAGCGAGATGTGCTTATTATTTTAAAGCAGCCAGGCTACACCAGGGAGAAAACACCACTCAGGACATTTCCTTCCCACAGCGTTTATATCAGATGGGTTTTTTTTCAGTAGTGGGTCAAATCCAGGTTTTTCACATCGAGCTATACTCTAAGCCCTTTTGTACTTTTTATTGGGAGACAGAATCTCACTAAGTCATCGGGTTATTCAGGCTGGGCCTCAACTTCTGATCTAAGGCTGTTTTGCGCTGAATCTACTCTGGCACATGTGCAAGGAGCCTGGCCCAGCACATCGGTCACTGTTCCTGGCGTCTAACGTTTCCCCATCACATGCTCTCTGTGCATAAAGGCTGTGCAATAAATAGGAGACTAACCTCCAAGTCAGAACCACCAAGACCAGCACAGATTTCCTACTTTGGAAATTTTAATTGATATGATTTATTATATACAATATAATATATATTTTCATTTATTATAATAATTTAGAGAGTACTATAGTACATAATTTTTAAATGTATGTGTTCAAATCAAGGCCATTAGTAGACAATAGAGAGTTTTATTGCCCAGGAGCTTTCTAAATCTCACACGATGGCCAAGGTTTCTTGCTGCTTTGTTTTGGATTGACTCTGTATGGGTAAAGTGACCAAATCTTAAGAAAGGAGTGGTGTTAAAAAGGTCAGAAGCTTTTATGGTTGAGACAATAAAAGAATAACTCATGTAAACATTTGGCAGGAAACCTGGTAGGCACTCACTGGCAGGCGGGTTAATTTATACTGAAAGTTGCAAAGTAGGAACAGAAGAGAAATAACCATGCCTCCTGCTTTTGCCCTAAAGATTCACTGCACTGAGGTTCCCCCCGTAGAGAATGATCAGTAAGAAGACAGAATCCACATGGTGTAGAGCACTTTGCCAGTATTTTCATAGGATTAGGACTGGGTGGGTGGGGGAACCTTTTTATATTCATCAATTTGTTTTTGGTTTGTTTTGGTACTGGGAATTGAACTCATGACCTTGCGCTTGCCAGGCAGGCGCTTGTGCCCGCTGAGCTATATCTCCGGCTATATTCATCAATTTGATCAAGATTTTTTAAAAAGCTCTTAAACAATTAATTCAAGCAAAAGCACATTATAAGAAACACTTGTGACTTTGTGGGCTCTCCCTTAGAGATAAGATGTGATCCCAGATTTCTGCTCCGTCTGGCGTGGACATGAAGACCACAGTTAGCTGAGCCGCTGATGTGAGTTGCGTGATCTTTGAGGCTGTTGCCCCAGGACTTCAGAGAACTTCTCCTCTCAGAGTCGAAAGCTCTTGAGGATGACACAAGCTGCACTTTTAGCCACTTGAAGAAATGCATGGGTTTGTAGGACTCTGAGGAGCTCAGCAATGCCTCATCATCTCTGTCCTGCCAGAGGTGAGTTGACAAATTGAGATAGCCTGGCCAGTGACTTCTCGAGAAACAAACCCGTCAATATACATTTCTAGGACCTGAAGTATTGATCCATATCTATGCTAGTAAGAGAAGCCACCAACCAACAAATCAGGCTTTTGCTGGCAACCAAGTATTCTGAGGTGTCTACAGAACTTCTCTGGTCTGAAGATTCTTGGGGTGAGTTGGGCCATCCTCTGTTTTTGGTGAGAAGTCAGCATGCACAAAATTCTGGACGGACAGCTGCCTGGTCTCTGCAAATTCTTCAGTTGTGTTTTTCTGGCGGTTCTTTCGCTTGGCCTCTGGAGATGGGGCTGTGACCAAGTGCATGTGGTTGTACACACCTGCCCCATCACCTGGCTGCCTCACCCCAACAATTACACAGCCAGTCTGCAGAGGGCCGAGAGCCCTCCTGACCTTTGTTTTACTTCCCATCACTTACTCAGGTCAGCCTCCCAGCAGACACTTGCATGCCAACAGCAGATCAGCTACAAATCAGTCGATGACCCTGCCAACGTGCATGCATCTGGCAGACGTGCCCTCATAGCCACTGGTTGTGAAATTGTATTTGAGAAGTCACCAACTTCACAAAAGTCATTTTACTCTAATACCAATCTGAGAATAAAGACTTTTGTCCAGAAACACTTCAATAAATTCCATACACATGAAACCCATAGCAAATAAGCAAGTTTGTGAGATGCTATGAAACTAGTAGATTTTTCCATTGTTTGTTAGTTGTTGCTTCAAAACGGGAGGATATATTTAATTTGGCTCTTAACACATGGTCTAAGTGGTTGGACTACGTGTTGGAGTAAACTAGCCAGTTGAAGCAGCTGCCTCTTCCATTGTGTGTGTGTGTGTGTGTGTGTGTGCATGTAGATGTCACAAACAAAATGCCAGGAATCACTGTCCTCATCGGCAGAGCTGGGTACTTTAAAATATTTCTAGACTACATTTTCTCGTCGAATATTGGAAGTGACCAGTAAGAGTTAGGACGTAGTTCCTGGGACCACATGAGAATGACTCCTGGAAGCTTAGGGTTATAGTCTCCTTGCAGCTTTTCCACCCTTCTTCACCTGCCCCTGTGCTCTGCCCGCTCCCTCCTGTCTGCATGATGGAGCTTCTCCAGGCCCACGCCATTGGCCGTGTTGGAGTGAACTTGGGGGAGGAGCAGCGGGCACTTGGTGGGCCAAGTTTGTGGCTACTGGTGCAGAGTGAGGGGCAGGAGACAGATGGGACACACAGGCCGCTGGAGCTTGGGTGAAGACGTCTCCCTGTGTGCCAGTTAGGAGATAGGTGAGCTGAGCTCTGAGACGGCCATGCAGCACTTGGAGAATTTCTCCACCCCCGTGGCTACAGGGCGCATGTGGAAGCGCATGAGAGCAAATTCTCACAGAGCCCAGGACAAAGGCATTTCTGCCCTCGGCCCTGGTCAGTGCTGTCTGGAAAAGAAGCTCTTGAAGGCACTGCTGTAGTTCTTGTTGAAGGCTGTGTAGATGAGGGGGTTGAAGAAGGAGTTGGAGTAGCCAAGCCAGAGGAAGATGCTCTTCCAGATGGCAGGGATGTCCCAGGAGCAGAGGGGGCCGACCAGCTCGGTGACGAAGAAGGGGATCCAGCACAGCACGAACACCCCGATGAGGATGCCCACCATGAGCGCTGCCCTCTGCTCCTTCTGCTCCCGCCACGAGTCCCCTTCTGTCTGGAAGGTGACGGTGGTGGGGCGGACCGTGAACACCATCTGGGACTGCTGCGTGGAGCCCTTCACCTGCAAGACACAAGCAGCAGCACTGTGAAGACCCAGCTCCCCACGCCCGCCAGGTTGAGCCCAGGCACTGGCCGCCCGGGCCCCGTGCATCTGCTCCGAGGCAAAGCTGGACTTGCCGGCACAGGAGCCTGACGGCTGTGGGACTCAGCCACAGACGGAGTGGGGTGAGCAGGCCGGGCTGCTCATGTGTCCTACGAGTGGAGGAGGATGATGTCAGTGGCCCTGTGTGCTCAACAGAGGGGAAAACAGCAACTGCAAGGCCTGGGGCGCATGGGAGTCAGCAACAGGCACAGCACACGGGTGCTCCTAACTTATGGTGGGTCCTGTCCCGGTGGACCTGTCACAAACTGAGAATCTCACAAGCCTTTGATACTCTGCCCTACCAGCATGCTAGCTCGGCAGCAGAGCACGCCACAGAGTTCAGGGTGTGGCCCTGTGTTCGCAGAGTGGCTGGGCCCTGCACCTCTCTGCCACTACTGAGCCTCAGGACTGAGGGTCCTGCCGCTAGTGAGGAGAATCAAAACAATAATTTTCAAAGGGCTGTGGATATAGCTCAGCGCTCTCTAGGTCCAATCAGCAATACTGGAAAAATGAAAGTGTGATAAATCTTTATAAAACTCCTGTAAACTTAGAACCAGATTTCCAAAATCTTTACAATGTTCTAGATTCCAGTGAGTCCTTTCTAAAGTGACAGCACACGGGTTGGGATGCTCACCTCTCTGGGTTTCTGCTGCTTTCTGTGTCCCACCCCCCCCAACGCACCTACATGTGTCAGTCACTGGACACTGTGCTGCCACCTTAAGTGGAGATGACACACCACAGCCCTCTCCCCGCTCCTGTCATCCGTCAGAGAGCTTCCTGCAGCATGGTCTCTGCCTTCATTTCCTTCTCGCGGGAAGCTGAACTCCCTGAAAAGAAAGTGCCTCTCTCCAGCCTGTCTTGTGTTCAGCTCTTAGGACAGTGGAACCACAAGTAGCTGATGACGCAGCAGGCTAAGTGTGAAGGAAGGTACTGCAGTAGGTGCATTACCTAAGTGAGCAAAATAATCAACCCAGCCAAGCCACGGGACCGCTCCCAGGTCAGCAGGTCATCCTCACAGGGGACGCTGCTCTGACCGTCGCTTTGCTGCTCTGACTCTAGCCTTCTGTGGCTCGGGAGGGCTACACAGCTGGCTTGCCAGAAATATTGTGTGTATCTGCTTGGTGCTAGACATGGTGGGGAAGTCTGTCTGGTTAATTTAAACCACTTAACTGATTCGTAACTGCATCTTTATAGTAGTGAATCTGACTTTTTATGACATAAAACGTCAGGTGGTAGTAAGAATACTGTAGTTAAAATAGCGTAGCTGATGCATGAATTATTGATTTTGTATGATAATCTTGATGGCATTTATTTGAAAAACAGTAAAATATCAGGTGATGAGCAATTGAAAAGAAAGTAAATATTGAAAAGCATAGTCCATAGCACTACAACCCTTAGAACACATGAAAAATAAGAAGTAAAATCTCTCTTTCTGTACCGTACACCTCCTATCAAAGACCACAAAAGGGTGAAACTCTTTCAGGGAAAGACTCCTAAGGGTAGTGACTCCATTCATAATAATTAGATAAATGGAAGTTTTCAGCATCATTTAAAGAGTGTCATAGTAAATAATGCCCACATGGGCTTTCAAGGAAAATTACAGTCAGTGTTCTCTGCCCCCAAATAATACCCTAACCATGTAGCCATGAGTAATCAAATGTCCTGAAGTTTTCCTTTGGTCAGCTGCAGAGGAATCTACTGACAGTTAATACTTCTTGTACAACAGTTAAGTTTTCCTGTTATACTTGCATTAATGCACAGTAAAATGATCTCTGTGTAAGCTGGAAGAGAAGGCAGTACCTAGATCCCTACGAAAGAGGGTTGGAAATTTTGAGACTTGCTTTCTTGATCAGAACTGGGAGACCTTGGGTCACAGCTTGGTGGGCCATCCAGCTCCTCCACATTCTGCTTCTAGCTACACTTGTTTGTGTCATACTTGTTCAGTGTCTGTCGTCCACAACTTCATATGCACAGCAGTATTCAGACAGGTGATTTAGAATGATTGAAAGAATAGGATACCATCATGTGAACCAGTGTGCTGTCTCTCTCTTCCCTTCCCTTCCCCTCCCTTCCCCTCCCTTCTCTTTTCTCCTCTCCTCTCCTTTCCCCTCCTCTGCTCCTCTCCCCTCCTTCCCCTCCCCTGCTCCCCCCTTGTCTTCCCTTCCCTTCCTTCCCCTCCCCTTCTCCCCAACAGGCTGGGAACCAAACCTAGGGTCTCATACACGCTAAGCAAATGCTCTACGACAGAGCTATCCCAGCCCTCAGTGAGCACTCTTAATCTCAGGTCTCCACAGATGAAACTTCACCTCTAATGAGAGCCAACAGCAGTACTGACAATGTGGACAGTCCATGATGCTCTCCCTTAAGCCTTGGCTGGATTAGGACAACAGGTATGAGATTGGGAACTAAACATTTCCACACATGCAGGGGAAGACTGGGGACCCATGACTGGTTCTAACCAACTCCTTGATTCAGGACAATTCATCTCAGTGAGATGCCTTTACAAGCCAGCCCGCTGGTGTTAGCTCTTTGCTTCTACAAGTCAGCTCACCAACAACGCATTCATGTCAATAAATTCCCATCAGAGTAACAGCCGAGAAATAGCTGTTCACGCAGATGGTGACAATCCACTTGCACCTCAATTGCCTGAGCCCCAGACCATGCCTTCCAGAAGCACTGTGTAAGACCAGCGTTCTGCTCTCAGCACAGGGAGAGTGGGCCTCACCAGACCAGCATGGTCTTCTCGCTCTGGCAAGTGATGCCTTTCTTTCCAGCATCTAATTTCTGATCTTCTATGGTGGTGCATCATCCTTTGACAGGTTCAAGGCCCGTCTGTCTCCTGCTGCCAGCTCCTGTCCCAGAGCCTGGTGCGGGTTCGGGCCTGTGCATACACTGAAATAAAACCCAGCAGATAAAGAAACCGGGAAGATGTGTTGTGGTTTCCCTGGGTAACACAGCTAGCTGGCAGCAGGACTGTATTTAGAAACTTTGACACCCACTATCACCGAGCAGTCAGCAAGCCGGTTTGCAATTATGCCTCAGCAGAACAGAAGGACAAAGGCACCCTCATTTTACACACAGAGCCCTGGAGCGTGTGGAGGTCTCAGAAAGCCAAGGGACCCATTTTCAAAAATGATCTGGCAAAGACAGAGGAAGGAAGCAGTGTGTGTGTGTGTGTGTGTGTGTGTGTGTGTGTACCATGGTCTCATAGTGCTGTGCTTCTGCTATTATCAAGACGAAGATAATGGGGCACCCTCCTCCTTTCACAATAAGCAAAAAGAGAGAACTGGAAATGACTTTCCTCTTAAACTTGGGGTTAGTGTTGCTTATTAACCGTGTTTGCCTGGATGGGTATCCAGTCGTAGAGGATTTCTGTGAAGAGGGCCTTGGAGATGACCCGGAATCTGAGTGTGCTCTCACACCGACCATAGGGAGCACCAGGCACTGTGATGGGATATCTGGCATCCTTCTGCACTGCTGCTCCTTGTTCAGTGTAGAAATCTAATATATCAGAGCTATATTCCAACAACTGATATTCTGGACATTTTGGTCTGAACAAATCTTGACTACAAGGCTGTCCTGTTCAGCAGCATCTCTGGTCTCTGCATGCAAGAGTCCACAAGCATACCGTCTCCAAGTCTGGATTACCAGAAATGTCTCCAGACTGCCCAAATGTGCCCTGGGATGCAATGTCACCCTTAGCTGGGGATGACTGTCATAGGTAGAAGGACAGGCGGCCTCTGAACCCTTCCCCACTCTTTCCTCTAGGAACCCCTTGCTTTACCTAGCTACATTTCTAGTCTCTCTAAGTTTTGGCAACTGAGTATGCTTGGAATTGGCCACCAACTATAGAAAATGCAGATACTGTAGGACTCACAAAGGGTGTCTATCTCCCTGGCCAGACCCAACTCTGCATAGGCAAAGCCTGTCATTCTGTTACTTCTCTCTGGAGCCCCCAATATGCACTCAGCACAGTATACTTAATTAAATGTGCTTTGCTGTCCCTGGGGCCCGTGTATGTTTCTGACCTGACTTCAGTATGTGAACGAGGTTCGGAATGAGCCTTGGTAATTAATACAATGGATTCTGTTTGGTTGTGGCTACAGAATCTTGCATCGTAGGGTCAGATTATAAAGAGTTAACAAAAAACAGGAAAAGGTGGGTGTGGAGGAAATAAAAAAAAAAGAGCCTTTATGGTTGCTGCAGTGGCTGTTGCACATTAAATGCTACTTATGGGGAGCTGGGGAGTTGTCTGTCTTGGGTTTTTAATTTCCTGCCGTCGCTTTCCTCATGATCGGGAGGGCAGACAAGTGGTCTTTGAGTGCGCACGTAGCGGATAGGGCCACAGGGACTAGAGAGGCAGTGCCACAGGGCACGGGGACAGATGCAAACACAGGCACCGAGACCTGAGTAAACAGGATTTGCAATCCTACATCAGGAGGGAAGGATGCTGCCGAGTGACAGTAACCTAGGTGATGCCATATATTGAAGATTGGCTGCTGTAATTTGCAAAGAAAAAATGGACAGGGACAAAACACTAAGGTGCTGTGCCTGAACTGTTGCGTGCTCTCCTGTGGAGTCTGGGCGCCTCCTCTCCCCGACACCCTGCTCTCGGCGTGGAAAGCTGCGGGTGTTTCAGAGGTGCAGGCCCTGGGTGCCCTAGGCACCTACTTCTGCACATGCTTTAAAGGATATTACAGTTCCACAGGGTTTTATCTCCCAGGGGGATGCAGTAGAACATGAAGCACAAACTCCTCATTTTATAGCTCAGGAAATAACTCATGAGATGCCAGTAGGATGAGTAGCTCTCTCATGTGAAGTTTGTCAGAGCAAACTCTCTGGCCCTTGGTTTCTCCCCAGCCTTTCCCTCCCTACACCCAAAAGTCCTGCTTTTCTCCAACACCGCGGCTGGCAGCCTGGGGTGCAGCCTGCGCAGATGCAAGTGAAGTACTGTTAAGGGTCGCGATGCACCCACCTCCATGGCTTCAGGCACGGGCGAGACGCTGTTGGTCTTCCTGGCGCCCACGCGGAGCTTGGCGGCCTTGTAGATCTTCCAGTACACGAAGAGCACCACGCAGAGCGGCAGGTAAAAGGCCCCCACGGTGGAGAACACAGCGTAGGAGGGCTCTCGGCTCACCTGGCACTCCTCGCGGTGCTCAGAGTACGTCTCCCCCCAGCCGAACAGCAGCGGGGCCAGAGAGATGGCAGCAGAGAGCGCCCAGGTGAGCGCGATCATCACGTTGGACACGCGCCTGCGGGTGCGGGTGGTGTACTCCAGGTGGCGAGCGATGGACCAGTAGCGGTCCAGGGCAATGGCCGTCACATTCCAGATGCTGGCTGTGCAGCACAGCACGTCGCATGCCACCCACAGCTGGCACAGCCGCCGGCCCAGCTGCCAGCGGCGCCCGGACAGCTCGTGCACCAGACTCAGCGGCATGACCAGCGCGGCCACCAGCACGTCCGAGACGGCCATGGAGGCCACCAGGTTGTGCGGGACGCGGTGGAAGGTGCGCACGCGGAGGATGGTGGCCAGCACCAGCAGGTTCCAGGCGAACGTGGCTGCCACGAGAAGGCCCAGCAAGGTCAGAACAAGCATGCTGAAGACGGAGAGCAGGGGCGGGCTGGGGCGCAGGTCCTCAGCACCCAGGCTGCGGTTAGGCTCCAGAGAGGACGGGGTGGAGAGGGCGAAGGAGGAGAAGTTCACGAGCAGATCCATCGCTGGGGCGGGACACCAGCGCCGCACACTTGCAGGAAGGGCCCTGAAGACTCCAGTCGACCCCCGCGCTCAGAAGCAGTGTGGATGTTCACAGCCTCTGGCCAGTGACAAGGCGTCTGGGGACCGAAGGTGGCCCCAGCCTCCTGCCCGAGCCTCCAGAGGTAGGGGGTGGTCTGGAGGAGGGCGCTAAGCTGCAAGCCAGTGAGCCTGAGGCCCCTAGAGGCCAGGACGGCAGGGTCAAGGAGCTGGGTCACATGCCGCGGGTCCCTCACCTCGGCGGAGACGGCTGTCCAGTAGCTCAGAGCCCAGCATCCCGGGGTTGGCCCTGCGGCGAGCGGGTGCCGGGAGCGCTGCTGTGCGCCAGAGCCGAACTCTCGGCGTCGCTCCCGCCGCCAGCCCCTCTCCAGGCTGTTACCCGAAGCCTCAGCTCCTGGCTGGGGAAGCCAGGTAGGTGCCTGTGCCCGCGAACTGCCTCTTGATCCGGCCACGTCCCTTCCCCTCTCCGTCTGGGGCTGCGGCTCCAGGGAGGGGGCGCTGGCGCGCCCACCAGACCTTCCTTATCAAAGTGGGACCCAGGCCTACGTAAGACATCAGCTGATAGAGCCGCCGTCCCCGCCTGACTCCGCGCGCGGCTGTGGCGCTGTCCGCGGTGCCGCGCGTTCCCCGCGCTCCGCGCAGAGCTCAGCAGAACACGGCGGAGCAGACCCTGCGTTTGCCGCTGTCCGTGGTGCCGACACCGCCTGTCTGGCGCCGTGTGCTGTCCGAGGTCCTGCCGCTTTTACCTGAAATGGGCGCTCGAGTGGAATAAACTGGCCAATGAACTTCCGGTACCTGTCGTTCTGCAGGTGGCCTGCAGACCTCGAGCCCCGTCTTCCACTTGTCCCAGCTGCGGTCTAGGGTGTCGCGCGGATTTTTTCGTCCAGATTTGAGTACCTGATTGCTTCCTTTGTACATGACTCTTGGGTGCTTCCCTAAAAGTGTCTGTTTTCCCTATAGGTGAAAAGGTAAGGTGGTGTTTTCTGCTATCCTCAGAGATGTGTAGGTATTGGAGCTAGGAAGCACACCCCAGAAAGAAGCTATGCCATCTCTCTATCTACTAAGTTAAATTTGCTGCTGGGACAGGAACAGTTGGATACAAGGTGTTATATATGCTCTATTGCATGAAAAAGAAGGGGAGCATTTAACTCCCCTCACACACATTAACAACCAGATGCACATCTCCAGAAATTGAGAAAACATTAAATATTTCCTTTTTATTTCCCTCTTTTTCTAAGTCAGTTTTCTTGTAGCTGAGACACAATGCGTAACACCAACAACTTAAGGAAGGAGAGGTTTCTTTGGGCTCACATTTCAGCCCATAACTTGGCTCCAAGTTAGAGTGGCACAGCAGAGGGGCCTGGTGGAGGACAGCTGCTCACAGCATGGCGAACAGGAAGCAGAGAGAGGAGAGGATCAGGAGAGGGAGACAAACTCTTCCAGGCCAAGTCCTTAGTGACCGCCTCTTCCAGCTAGCAGCAATCAGCACTAAGTCCTTGTCTTGGTTTCTGTTCTCTTGTTGCTGAGACAAAATACCCAAAGTCCAAAATTCAGGAAGGAGAGGTTTATTTAGCTTACAGTTTGTGGAGGTTTCAGTCCATAATCAGCTGGCTCCAAGGCAGGGTGGCATGGCACAGGGGCAACTCTTCAGGGTGGCACAGGACAGCAAAAGCAGCAAGAGCAAAAAGGGGGGAACAAGCCTCTTTTCCTCCCTTATGTTGTAAGCCGGCTACCCCCACCCAGGGGGCGGATAGCACTCACATAATCTCTGTACCCTCCTCCTGCACAGGCTGAGGGTGAATACAAATAAGGAACCTGGCTCCCTGCTGAGCCACATAGTTAACCTTCTAAACTTTGAAGTTGACACAAAGAACAATATCCTAGAGCAAGAAGAGCACATCCTTTTCACCCCAGGAGGTAGAATTGCTGAGTCACTTAGCCAAGCCTCTAGATTCCTCAAGTTGACACAATGTATCAACCATAACTGTCCAACAACCCAGCCCCCTCCCAAATGCTCATCTGTGAGCAAATGAGGCTTTAGGTGGACATCTAGATATAAATAATAATGTCACTCCTCCCTTGCAAACACGATCTAATAGAGGTTTTTTTTTTTTTGTTTTTTGTTTTTTTTTTTTGTTTTTTAAGGATGAGCCCTCACATCCTGCTAACATCTGTCAGTACTCAGCACATGCACATGCTGAGATGACCATAAAAGGCCAAGCCAGGATAGCTGACTTTCTAAAAAAGAAAAGTCCCAGTTCTTAGTTATACTTCTGTTGGATAAGGTTACTCCAGTGGAATTATTGAGGTGAGAAGATTTTACAGAGCTCATGCTAGAAGAAGAGAGTGATTCTTGTTTGTTTTGTCTTGACATTTTCTATGATGTAAGGGGCTAGATGTGAACCCTCAGGTTGTCATTGGAGTGGTGATGTTATGTTACTATCTCAGGAGGTTTCTACTAGCAGGATGAGTGACATCTGTCACTCTTGCAATGGAACAAAAATCACAGTGATTTTTAGTTTTCTTTTCTCTCCCTTGCATTCTTCAGATGTCAGAACAAACGTAACAGAACATGTCCTACAGGAGAGAGGTGGGGAATCACCAGGGTCCTGTTGCTCCTTTGTTGTTTATCTTTATCTTTCTTGTTCTGCTTTGTTTTGTTTTCTGCTTTTTGGAGGCGGGGTCTTGCTATGTAGTTCAGGCTGGCCTTGAATTCACTATGTAGCACAGGCTGGCCTCAGACTCATCATAACCATCCTCCTGCCTCAGCTTCGCAAGTGCTGGGATTACAGGCGTGCACTGCTATGCTTAGCTTTGAAAACTAAATCCCTAAATTCCGAGGTGGTGGTATTTGGAAGTGAAGACTTCGGGCGATAAGTAGAGTTAGATGAGGTCTGACATTGACTCCTCATGATGACATCAGTGGCTTTAGAAGCAGAGGAAGAGAGACCCTGAGGCATGGGTGCCCTGTTTCACCATTTGAAGACACAGCAGGAAGGCCCTCATCAGACCTCTGGTCTCTACAAATCACTCTGCCTTGGGTGCTCTATTACAGTAACACAAAACAAGACACATACATAGTACCTAAAGCTAGAGAATGCAAGGGGCTGTCTGGGGGGACTCAGAGAATGCCCCCTTCACCAAGTCCATCTGCTGGAGCTGGGCATGGGGGTACACACCTGTAATCCCAGTCCTCTGAGAGGCTATGGCCAAGGACGACAGATCCAAGCTCAGCCTGGGCAACTCAGTGACTTAGTGAGATCCTGCCTCAAAAATAAAAATCAATAAGAACCGAGGATCTAGCTCACTGGAAAGACCCTGGATTTAATCCCCAGGGTATTTTATTATTTTAAAGGGAAAAGAACAAAAACAAAATAACAAAAACAAAGACAAAAACAAAACCACAAAAACTATAAAAATGATACAAAATTTCAAAACAAGATGACAGGAAATCAACAATGGTTGTTGTACTACTTATTGTTATCTTCAAAGTAGATGCTGAGATTACCAGATATTGGTATGCAAGACTGATAAAACAAATAACATTAACTGTTCCTTTCAATAAACCACAGAAATTACTAGTACAATTATCTTAGCTATCTTGTGTGTGTATATATATATTTCCCTTCCTTCTTTCTTTCTTTTCTCCTCTCCCTCATCCTAGTTGTTCTTTCCTAATGAGCAGTTTCTTTCCATTTCAAAATATCTATTGTGTCTTTCAGTTTTATTCACTCTTTCAGGTTCTTAAACTAGCGAGGACACAATATAATATTTACACATACAGTTTTGATTTATTTCACTTATGAGTATGGTCCCTAGTTGCATCCATTTACCTATAAAAGCCTCAAGTTTATCTTTCTTTATAGCTGAGTAGTACTCCATTGTATAAAAATATCACATTTTTCTTATCCACTCTTCAGTTGATGGGTATTTGGGTTATTTTCAAGATTTATCTATGACAAATTGTACTGCTATAAACATGGGTGCATATGTATCACTGTGGTTTGATGTTTTTAATTCTTGTTGGAAAATACCCAGAAGGGGACTGTCTGGGTTACATGGGATCTCTAGTCCTAATTTTTTGAGGAATCTCCAGACTGATTTCCAAAGTGGTTGCACCAGTTTACACTGCCACCAACAGTGGAGAAGAGTTCCTTTTTCCCCACAGCCCCCTAGCATTTGTTGGTGGTGGTTTTTTTGATGGTGGCCATTCTTTCTGGGGTGAGATAGAATCTCAGTGTTGTTTTAATTTGCATCTCTCAAATGACCAATCATGTTGAACATTTGCTCATGTATTTATTTGCCATTTGTATCTCTTCATTTGAGAAGTGCATATTCATCTCAGATGCCCATTTTTGGATTGGGTCTGTGAATTTGGGTAGCTGAGGTTTTTTGATTCTAGATATAAGTCCTTTGTCTGAGGGACAGTCAGCTAGAATATTTTCCCACTCTGGGGGCTGTCTTTTCCCTCTAGTGGTGATTTCTTTTGAAGTACAAAAGCTTTTTAATAGGATGAGATCCCAGTTGTTGATTCTTTGAAGTGTTTCCCATGAAATTTTGGTTTTGTTCATGAAGACTGTGCCTACCCCATGTCTTCAAGATTCGACCCCGTTTCTCCTCCAGTAGATTTACTGTTTCTGCTTTAATATTTAAATCTTTGATCCATTTTGACTTTAGTTTAGTGCATGGTGATGGACATGGGTCTAACTTTAGTCTTTGGCATGTAGAGAGCCAGTTTTTCCAGCACCATTTATTAAAGAGGCTATCTTTCCTCCAGTGAATATCTTTGGCCTCTTTGTCAAAGATAAGGTGGCTGAGTGTATCTGTAGTTGTAGTTGTGTCCACATCTTCTAATCTGTTCCAGTGGTCCTCAGGTCTATTTTTTGCCAGCACCATGCTGACTTTATCACAATAGCTTTGTAGTATAATTTCAAATCAGGGATTGTGATGCCTCCTGACTTTGCTGCTCAGGATTGCCTTTGCTATTCTAGGCCTCTTCTGGTTTCAGATGAATTCTAGGAGTATTTTCTCTAGTTTTGTGAGGTATGCTAATGATTCTTTTATGAGGATTGTGTTAAATCTGTATAACACTTTTGGAAGTATGGCCATTTTCACTATGTTGGTTCTTCCTATCCATGAGCAAGGACTAGCTTTCCATTTTCTGATATCCTCTTCAATTTCCTTTTTCAGAGTACTGTGATTTTTTTGTTTGTTTGTCTGTTTTCTGATACCAGGAATCGAACTCACGACCTTTTGCTTGCCAGGCAAGTGCTGTGCCACTGAGCTAAATCCTCAGCCCCTGTGATTTTCAATACATAAATCTTTTACATACTTTGTTAGATTGATTCTTAAGTATTTCATGTTTTTGTATGCTACTGTAAAGGGTGTGGTTTCCCTAATTTCTCTCTCAATAAGTTTGTTGATTGTGTACAAGAATGCTATTGATTTTTTAGTATTGACTTTGTATTCATCCATGCAACTGAATTTGGTTATTAACTCTAAGAGTCTTTTGGTTGAGTTTTTAGGGTCTTCTATGTAGAGTATCATATCATCTGTGAATA